GTGCCTCTGTGTCCTTACTTATTTTCTGTCTGGTGGATCTGTCCTTTGGAGTGAGTGGTGTGTTGAAGTCTCCTAAAATGAATGAATTGCATTCTATTTCCTCCTTTAATTCTGTTAGTATTTGTTTCACGTATGTTAGTGCTCCTCTATGTTGCATATGTATTTATTAAGTTAATATTCTCTTGTTGGATTGACCGAATTATCATTATATAATGTCCTTCTTTATCTCTTGTTACTTTCTTTGTTTTGAAGTCTATTTTCTCTGATACTAGTACTGCAACACCTGGTTTTTTTCTCCTTGTTGTTTGCATGAAATATCTTTTTCCATCCCTTGACTTTTAGTCTGTGCATATCTTTGGGTTTGAGGTGAGTCTCTTTTAAGCAGCATATAAGATGGGTCTTGCTTTTTTATCCATTCTATTACTCTGTGTCTTTTGATTGGTGCATTCAGTACATTTACATTTAGGGTGATTATTGAAAGATATGTACTTATTGCCATTGCAGGCTTTAGGATCGTGGTTACCAAAGGTTCATGGTTAGCTTCTTTACTGTCTTACTATCTAGTTTAACTCATTTATTGAGCTATTATAAACACAGTCTGATGATTCTTTATTTATCTCCCTTCTTATTCCTCCTCCTCTATTCTTTGTGTGTTAGGTGTTTTTTTTGTGTGTGTGCTCTTTTGTGTTTCCTTTGATTGCTTTTGTGGGTAGTTGATTTCATTTTTTGCCTTTAGTTAGTATTTGATTGTTCTGCTTTCTTTGGTGTGATTCTATTTTCTCTGGTGATGTTTGTTTAGCCTTAGGAATGCTTCCATCTAGAGCAGTCTCTCTAAAATACCCTGTAGAGGTGGTTTGTGGGAGGCAGATTCCATCAACTTTTGCTTGTCTGGGAATTGTTTAATCCCTCCTTCATATTTAAATGATAATCGTGCTGGATACTATATACTTGGTTCGAGGCCCTTCTGTTTCATTGCATTCAGTATATCATGCCATTCTCTTCTGGCCTGTAAGGTTTCTGTTGAGAAGTCTGATGATAACCTGATGGGTTTTCCTTCGTAGGTAACCTTTTTTCTCTCTCTGGCTGCCTTTAATACTCTGTCCTTGTCTTTGATCTTTGCCATTTTAATTATGTGTGTTGGTGTTGTCCTCCTTGGGTTCCTTGTGTTGGGAGTTCTGTGTGCTTCTGTGGTCTGAGAGGCTATTTCCTCCCCTAGTTTGGGGAAGTTTTCAGCAATTATTTCTTCAAAGACACTTTCCCTTTTTCTCTCTCTTCTTCTGGTATCGCTATAATATGGATACAGTTCCGTTTGCATTGGTCACAGAGTTCTCTTAATATTCTTTCATTCCTGTAGTTCCTTTTATCCCTCTCTGCATCAGCTTCTCTGCATTCCTGTTCTCTGATTTCTGTTCCATTAATGGTCTCTTGCATCTTGTCTATTCTGGTTTTAAGTCCTTCCAGAGACTGTTTTATTTCTGTATTCTCCCTCCTTAGCTCTTGCATATTTTTCTGCAAGTTCGTCAGCATGGTTATGACCTTTATTTTGAATTCTTTTTCAGGAAAATTGGTCAAATCTATCTCCTCAGATTCCCTCTCTGGGGAGAATGTCTTAGTTAGTCTGGTCTGTGTCAAATTCTGCCTTTTCATGGCAATAGAGGTAGTTGTAGGCAGTTGGTGCGTGTGACAGCTGGGAGAACCAAGTTCCTTTCCAGTTGCTCTTGGCCTTCCTTTCCTGGGAGAACCGTGACCCCTAGCAGCTTGTGCTGGGCAGTTGTGCACAGATTGGGCCTCTGATTCTTGCCCAGCTGCTGTTGAGTTAGCTCTGTGCGGTTGCTGTGGGCATAGCCACTTTCAGGCTGCTGCTCTGCTATGGCGGGGCCGCGCCAGAGGGGGAACAGGCGGGAGGCTGTTTAATGCCATGAGGGGCCTTAGAGCTGCCCTGCCACCCCAGGGGTTAGTGAACCTGGAGTTCCCTGGGATACCTGACTGCTGGACTGAGTGTGCCAGACAGTTCTGTCTAGCTTTGAGGCTCCTGTCCCTTTAAGACTTTCAAAAAGCACTCGCTTTTCCTTTGTCCCAGGGGGTGCTGGTTGTGGGGGCCCGCTTGCAGGTTTTACTGTCCCATTCCCTAGTATCCAGCACACCATGCACTGTATGTCTGTGCTCCCAGCATAGATCACTAGGGCTGGGTATTTAGCAGTCCTGGGTTCCCTCTCCCTCCCTGCTCCGACTCCTCTCCTCCTGCCAGGGGAGGGGCACGCTCAGGTGCTGCTGGGCTGCGGCTTGTATCTTACCCCCTTCTTGAGGCACTGGGTTCTCACAGGTGTAGATGTAGCCTGGCTGTTGTCCTATATCTTCTGGTCTCTCTTTTAGGAATAATGTATTTGTTCTCTCTTCAAAAATATATATGTTTTTGGGAGGCGATTTCCACTGTCCTACTCATGCTGCCATCTTGGCTCCTCCTGTAACTCCCTGGTTTTTAAGAATGGAATCTTAACCTTAAGATGGAGTCCCTCTTGTGCTTACGATACTATTTATATCTCAGCATTTTTTCATTATAGGCAGGAAAAATTAATCATGATGCTTGTTCCATGTCCTTGCCCTACCTCAATACTTCATTTTACCTTTCTGTCTTTGAACCTTTCACTTATGTGAGGTTCTCATAGTATGATACTAAATTTGATTCTCTCCTGTTAATGTTTTATGTTTTATGACCAGCTAGAAGAATCTTGAAGGACAGAAGAAAATTTTTCCTGCCCAACAGTTGGTGCAGTTGGTAGGATACTTTAACTCACTGGACATTGCTCAGAACTGCTGCAGCTGAGAGATTTTTGGATATCTCACATGGAGCTGGTAGAAGGTACAATTTATTATCACATCAGCTTTGTGGAATCTCTGTAGGGCCCAGTGGAGCAAGAATGGTGAGGGTCATTTTTTTCTTCTTTCTAAAATTTGATTATCAGGAGAAAATACTGGCAGAACTAGTTCCTGGTGTTTAGCAACTTAGTAAATTTATTGCACACCCTTGCTTTTTTGCCTCCTAAAGATGGCCTTTGTTTTTGTCTTTGTGATTTTTATATGTCTTAAGAGCTTGGCTTGAGAGTTTGGCTTTGTGGCTTCTACCAACAAGAGGGTGCATCTGGTGGAAAACCCAATAGGCTGTGTATCTGATAGTCCCCATTTTTTGTCTGACTGTGCCACCTCCCCAGGGAGTTTGTTGTAAAAGTTCCAACCCATAAGAAACCTTTGTCGTCTTAACCTCTGCTGCTTGTTAGTGCTGGAAAAGTCCCATTCCAGTATGTCCACCTGGTATCATGGGTTCGCAGGTCTGTGATTGGAGGCATCTCATGTTTTTGTGGGAGACCAGAGCCTTACAGCCTGTGCAGTGAAGGCTTTTGCTCTCTTAGACTAAGTTTGGGAGTAAATTCTGGGGCTACATTATCTATGCCCTCTTCAGGGATACTTCTTGGGTCCATGGTAAAGACTTAATCTAAGCTTCGAGTTACTTTTGAATCTTTCCATGAAAAGGCTTTTTGGTTTAAGTTGCTCTTGAGAGATCCTATTGCAATGGCCAGATGATGGCTCCTTTGTATTGGCTCTATCTGGAAGAAAATTTTTCTTCAACACCTCTAGAAATCATAAGCAAAAGTTGAACTATTTCCCATGTTGATATGAGGTAACCACTGACCAATTCCCTAACATTTTAGAAAAATGCTAATATAACCAATCCCTGGGAAGAACAATCAGTCACTGCTTTCTTGCTGTATAAAATGCTTTATAACACTGCATCTGTGAGCCTCATTCCATGTTTTGGTTTGAGTGCTCCTGGTTTGCAAATTGTCATTTTGTTGTGTGCACAGTAACTTTTACTAATTACTCCCTAGGTGATTCATTGGTTTTACTTCTATTATTTATGAACTTTTTAGAGTAGCTTTGTGGAGAGATATGCCAGGCCAAATCTTGATCGAGTGATCAAACTTGGCATCGTCGATAATGGGACAAAACCACACTGTGCCTAGTGATGGAAGATACATCACTTCGTACTTTTCTTACTGAAATGTTTAACCTGAATCTAATCATGAGGAGACAAACTAATACAGTCTACAAGACATTTGGTCAAGCTTTTCAAATATATCAAAGTTATGAAAGACTGAAAAAAGCCAGAGCCCTAGTACTAGGGTAGTAGATTAGAGGAGTTTAATAGAGAGACATGAAACCAAATGCAGTGGGTGAATCTTGCGTAAATCCCGAACTGAAAAACAAACGCGTGTGCGTGTGGGTGTTTATGACCTTTTGGGACAACAAAGGACATTCAAATAAGGACGGTATATTGGATAGTATGACTGGCGTGGTATTAAATTTCTTGCGTGTGGTAATGGTGAGGAATTTAGGGCTGGAGCAGGGCTGGGTTGCAACTATCTAAAGGTTCAGGGGGAAAAAATACCTACCCAGTTAGAAAGAACGCAACTGTTGTGAAAAGGGTAGCATTTGGTGGAAGGTATATTGTTCATAGTACCACTCTTTGAACTCTTCAGTCGGCTTGTTAATTTTCAAACTAAAAAGCAGGGATTACAACACAGGAAGTGCAAGTTTACTTCCTTTCTGACCGCGGAGGTTCACGTGGACATGGCGAATCAGCACCGTGAGGAGGCTTCTCTTTCGCGGCTCTCGGTGCGTTCTCTAAGTTTCTTTCACTGCGGATGAGAGATCCGAAGTCGTGAGAGGGCCACCGAGTGCACAGCAGCTCCTAACCCCCGCGGGTGGGGAGTCCGGGGCCTGCACGACCAGCCCGCCCCGCCGCCTGGAGGCGTGGCCGCTGCGGGAGAGGCCAATGGGAGCCGAGGCGGGGGGCGGGGCCGGCCCGGGCTCCTGGGCCGCCCCGCCAATCCGAGGCTTTCTCTTTTCTCCAGGTTCCGCGGGGCGCTGCCTCTGGGCGCTGCGGAGCCTGGGCGGGAGGGGGTGCAGGCCGTCGCCGCCGCCTCCCGGTAAGTACCTGACCATCTGGCTGCGGCGGCGCTGGCCGCTCCAGGCCTGCGCCAGGTCGCCTCACCTCCGGCCCGCCCCCTTGCCCCGCGGCGCCGCGAACCAGCCCGCTTGCGACCCCCGAGCCCCACAGTCGGCGTTGCTGCCCCTCCAGTCTGCGGCGAGAAGGGGCTGGGACTGTGGTGGGGCCCCGGTCCCGGAGAGCCTCGAAAGGGCCGGGCAAGCTCGGGCTGCCGCTGCTCTCCGGTCCACGTGCAGGGCCCGGGTCGGCGGGGCGCCGAGGTTTCTGGGTTGGACCCAGTTTCTCCCGCGCGAGCGAAGTGGGGTGACTTCGTTCGTCTGTCACTGAGATCCCAGGGGTAAGGCCCATCTGGCGTCTCGGCGTGTGCGCCCTGCTTCCGCGGTGGGTTTCGCTTGCCTCTGCATCCCTTCTCCAGGTTCGCTTAGTATGCAGCCCCGGCGAGCTTCGTACTCGGGTAAAGGCACGCTGTACTTTAAATTGCTCTTCGAACTCGCCGGGTCGGCTCACGTTTTCATGGATGGGTCGAATTAATTTGCTCGGAAAGTTAGGGTAGCTCTGGATTTTAGCGTCTTTCTAAGTTTAACTAATTTTGTATAGATCAGTTGCAATGATCAACTTTATTGTTACTGCGCAAGAAGAGCAAAACAGTCTAGATTTGTCTTCGTGAGAAAACAGTTGAAAGGCATAAACCCTGGCTTTGGCTTGCCGCTGTCAGGTTTTGTGACCACGAGCTAACTCATGAAATGAAATACGATTTTTACGATTCCTGTTAAAAGCTACTTTCGGTAAGTCTGTGGTGAATTTATTCTCGGTCCTGTACCTTTAAAGAGAATGAGAAATAGGAAAAGTCCACGAAAGGCAGACCTGCTGGGAACAAAGATTTATGAGGGCACCCAAGTTTAGAGATTGATTACAGTTTAAGACTGCAGAATGCAAAGAGAACACAAGTGAATTTGAGAGGACTTACCCAGAATTAATTGTGGAAGCGAAACTTAGAAAGTTTTCAGTTCTAGAAGCAGTTAGTTACCTTTATTTATTTAAGTTATTAATTTATTATTCATTCATGATTGTTTAGTTACCATTCTTGGCAGCTGTACAAATGAAGTAGAAAAAGTATTAAGTAAGAGAAAATGTAGTAGAGAGGATATGTAATTTAGCATATATCTTACAATAGGGAGAATCCTTTGGAATTCTTAATTTGTGTAGACATTTCCACTCAGGAAACACTTTTTTTTTTAAGTAGATAAAAAGTTTTGTATTTCCCTTGCAGGAAAATCATACATTTATTCTGAATGTCAGTTACCTACCCTCTCACTCACCAAAATATTTTAACAGCCTTTGGGAAATAGCATTTGGCTTTGTAGTACATAAGAGGAAAGATCAGACATTCCTCCATGGAGACTTTAGTTTGAGTACTTTGCTGTATGGCTAGGGAAAGTCACTTTCCTCTCTGAGGCTGTCTCTCCTCAAATGTGAAATGTTGATAATACCTATTTCACAGGGTTGGGAGGATTAAGTAAAAACCTTTATGTGGAAAATGGGTAGCAATGCCTGTCTTATCAGAAGTTCAATAATGACAGCTATTGTTGGTATCGTTGGGGGGAAGTCTGTTTGGAGATGCAGGGAAGTCAGAGTATAAGGTGGTTAGAATGAAAAAGCAAAGTAACAAAGACCACTGGAAAAGCGCAGAGACAAAACGTTATAAGTGAGAAGTTTATTTAAAGCAAAAAGGTGCACACTCAGGGAAGGGGGAGTGTGGGCTACCTCAGAGAAGAGGCACCCCTAAGGTTTTAGGGTCTGGGGCTTTATAGGCAGTTGAGGATTTTCAAAGGGCTAGGGGTTGTGCACCTGTTAAGTGGTCCCCGAATGTTCATCCTTGATGAGTTATAACATCTTTCTTTTTATTAGTTCTCCAGGTAATTCTGCAAAATTAACATAAAAAATTTACTGCTGATTTCTTCCCAGAGTAGCAGCTTTTTGGTCTGGGGGCATATCAATTAAGACCACTTCCCTGCCCCCACCCCCCAGGGTGGGCCAAGTTATTTGTTTGCTGAACAGTATGTTGAGAAGCTTACTTCTTCCTGGATTATTTGAAATGCGATTTTGGCTTTAAGGTGGGATCTTCCTGTCTTTATTATTGTTAGGCAGGAAGATAGAGATGAGTGGGGTGGAAAGAGAGTAAGGTCAGCAACTTTGCCTGGAATGTTTGAATATTGCCCAGATAAAGGGGGGGTACTTCAGCGTAGCCTGTGTCTTTATTGTGTTAATCGTACTTTTTAACCTACGTATATGCTGTTTTTTCTTTTTCAGCCCTTATCAAGTAATTGCAACCTGGGCAACTAACTTAGCATGCAGGTCCAGGATTGCATTTTAATACCCAGGAAGTTACGAAGTAAGGTTCTTAACTTTTTAGCAAACAGACACTAACTCAGCCCACGTTGGGGGGCAAGGCAGGCAGTCTTAATTGATATGCTCCCAAACCAGGAAGCTGCTATCCTGACAGGGAACCAGAGCAGTAAATTTCTTGTGTTAAGTTAATTCTAAATATTCAGAGACCACTTAACAAGTCTGCACCCCCAGCCCTTTGTCATTCCTGAAAAATCCTTGAAAGGGGGCACCCCCAACCTTTCAGTGCGCTCCTCTCTCTGAGGTTGCCCATACTTTCTGAGTAACTTTAACTTTTCCTAACCTTTCAGGGTGCTCCTCTTTCTCTGAGGTTGCCTACACTTTTTCTCTCAGTAACTTTAAATAAAACTTTTACTCTGCTTCACAACTGTGTCTCTGCCCTTCAGTTCTTTGTTGCAGTGGGGACAAGAACTGAGGAAAACACACAACGCCTCTCCCCAACATTATGCTGTTTATAGTTGGGCCTTTTAGCAGGCTAGAGTAAATCTTAAAATGGCACATGAGCTAATTGACACAATGAAGACATGGGTTATGCTGAGATACTTCTCTTTATCTGGGGAATATCCAAACATTTATGGTCAAGTTGCTCCTGACCTTTTGAGCTTTAATTAACTCTAACTCTGAGTCTTTTCTGGCCTTCTAGTTTTAACTGGTTAACTGAGCCCTTTCTAGGGGGCTTTACTGACCTTATTCTGTTTCCACCCCACTCATATCTATTTTCCTGCCTAACAGTATGTGTTCATAATTCAGCAAAGAGAAGTGGCCGCTGGGTTTTAGTGTGGCTGGAGGGTATGGCCTAAAGCAGTGCATTGGACAGCCACTACTTTGCCTGATACTGGGATTTCTGCAAAGTTGTAATCTCTTCCCTGGATAGCAGGCTGAGGTGCTGTCCAAACACTACTGACTCCCTGTGGTGGCCTGTCTGTTAGTAGGGTTGGAATCTTCTGAAAAAAAGAAAGTTGAGGAATGTGTGTGAGGAGAACCCCTCCAAAGAGCTCAAAAAACCAAGAAGTGGTTTAGTTCACAGAACAGAGATTTATTTCAGCCTGAGGCGCTGTGGCCCGTGAAGCTTACTGGACATGCGGTCTCCTGTTCCAGCTTCAGCCAGGACCTTTTCTTGTTTGGATGTTTGATCCAACTACTGATGGTTTCTTTTGTTATTTAAGGCAAAGTGTTCTTGGCAAACATTAAGCTAGGAAGGCAGGGTAGTCTTAACCGCTCAGGAATCTAGTCTAGCCCTTGGAAAGGAAAAGAGAAGAGCCCAAAGGTGGTTTTTTCCCTCTTCCTAGCTAACTTTAAAAATTGTAATCGAATAGAAAGTACTTAGAGTCTAACCAGGATGCAGGAGTGGACACTCATTTGTGGAAGATAAATGATTGTGGTGGTACATCTCATAGGTACTCATGGGTATGTGCTCCATCCACGTGACTGAAATCCATGGAAGCAATTCCGAAACAGGTTTGAACTCCAGCTGGATATTTGCATATGAGTATAATCCAGAGCCTCTGGGCTTTAACTTAACTAAAAATTTCATATTAAAACTGACAAAAGGAAAAGCAGCCAAATCTCATTTACACTAAATTAGCAAAATAAGTAGTGGCAGGCAACAAAATTAATCAGTGAGATGTCATGAGGCCTTAAGACCATACAGTCTAAAATATATTGTTCAGTTTTTAAATTAGACTTCCAATATATAACCCCATTTCCCATTTTTTGCTGACATTTTGTAGGATATCTTTGTGTATACGTATGTGTGTGGGTGTGTGTCTCCTGTGTCTGTTTATATGTATGTAGATATAGATATAGATATAGATATAGACATACACATATGTAAGAAAGCAATCACTATCAAAGAAGGTGAATGAAAAGAAGAATCCTATCATGCCATCATTGAGAATTAACTGCTTAAAATGGGAATTTAAGGATAAGTATTCCAAGGCATAAAATGGTCATCATTTATTTAACTCACTGATTTTCAGTACAGCACAGGTGCTTGGGATGTCCCCAATTAATTCATTCATTCCTTAGGTGGAGCCCTGGTGTCTGTACTGTAAGAAGCTCTGCACTTGGGTAGGAACTACTGCTAATAAGGAGGCCCATGTTCCACGCAGATGCTTGGTGCATATACGGTATTACCGCCAAGAAAATAAGAACCATGTGGAGACCAGAGGAGGAGGGAATGGGGAGCATCTGCTTAATGGTTTCCTTTTGGGGTGATGAAATACTGGAATTAGAACTAGATAGAGGTGGTAGTTGCACAATATTGTGAATGAACTGGATGTCACTGAATTGTTCACTTCAACATCTTATTTTATAGTATGTGAATTCAGTAAAAGTAAAAAAACATGAACACTGTTGGAAAAATAAATTATTGCTGTTTAGATTGTTTAGATTTAGTACCTGTTTTGAAGTGCTTAGTAATATCTTCTCCTTAATTAAAACACCATCACTTCTTATGATCTGTACAGCCTCAGGTGGTAGCAGAAGGAACACTGTACTTGAAGCAGAACACTTAATCTGGGGGCCAAATTTTGCCCCCACCAGCCGTGTGGCCTCGGCAAGGCACCTTGCTGAGACTGGGTTTCCTATATGTTTCCTGTCCTCCTTGCCCAAATTTATTGGGGAGATGCACTGAAATCTTTTATACCAGAACCTTTTGTAATAGCAAATTACAGTACTTCCCATGGCATTCTTGTGTAGTTACTGGTTATGTTTTATAACTTGGATTCAGCAAATAATTTTAGGAAGGAAGGTACTACTGGACAGAAAATGAATTATTTTTTTATTGTTGTATTCTGACAGTCTAGAACTAGTGTGAATCATTACTAGTTATGAGTTTAGTAAGGCTAAACATCAATCAGTTAAGTACAGATACTATTAAATGTTTTCAAGGATAATAGGGAGCTAAGATGAGTTTTGGTGGGCAGGGCTTATACTTGGTACTGAAATACATAGAGCCTATGATGATTTTTCAGATTCCTTGCTTAGGGAGCCTGTTACCTTATTCTCTTATAACTACTCTAAATATGGTTAGTGTCCATAAGTGAAAATAGCTATTGGCAAATCTGTTTAGGATTCCCTTTGGGTTCTTTTCTCTTAGTTTAAGCAAGTCCCTTGGTCTTGTTGAGAACTGACATTCTTGGCAGTAGTGACTTGTGGTAGGCTTCTCTTGGGAAATGTAGACTTATGAACTCCTGAAACATGCAGAGTAAAAACACTGGGTGTATGACTTGCTGTTAATGACTAAACCATTCGAAATTTTAGTTTAGACCAACAATAATTATAGTTGGTAGTATTTACACAGAAGTGTGTTAATTTACATTTGTCTCCTGTTAATGGACATGAGGCCAGATACACCAATTGAAATCACATAAAACTGCAGGACATAAAATGTATGTGGGGGACCTGGCTGTGGCAGGTGTGTGAATATATGTCACAAGACCTATTAAGAGAGAAGAGGATGTAAAGCAACATTTGTTGAGTGCCTTTTTTGTGCTAGTTAAAAAAAAAATTTAATCCCCGTAATAGGCCTAAAGGCTAGGCATTTTATTTAGCTTATTGAATATAAGTATGGGCTCTACCCCTAACTGTGTCAGCTGCTTTAGTGATGATGCTTTAGTTGAAGGAAAAACAGAGGTGTACAGGAACTTCCTGAAGAAGGAGGTGGTGTGGCTCTGACGCCAGAGTTGGCCTCTCGCCTTCGTACTAAGCTGCCTCCCACCTATTAACATAGTATGGGTAAGAGAAGGAAGCTACCATTTACACAGTATAAACTAGAAGTATATTTTGGTAATTTTAAGTAACTGTCATTTTACTTTACGGGAGTGGGTCACCATGTTTTTCTCTCCTTTGTACCTGAGCAGCTCACAGTGACAAACAAGTAGCAAATATTTATTGAGCACAGAATAGATTTTAGATAAAATAGACTACCCAGAAAACAGCCTTCATTGTGGTACACGTAATACATACAGTGCACATCAGTCAGGATACCAGTGTATTGGATTACGTAAGGTCTGAATGAGAACTAAGGCTGCTGATACAGTGAGAATAGCATTGCTGAATCGGGGTTTAGTGGATAGGAGTGCTGTGCTTTACTGAGGCGAGACTCCCCTTGGGAATGTGGCAGGAGGGTTTCAGTGACAACTTCGGATCGCGCATTCCAAAGGCTACACAAGTCAAAGAAGAAACTGCTCGTGTGCAAGATCACGACTTTGAAATGTCTTACTTCTGTGTCCAGGAAAAACCCTGTTGGAGGCTATGTGTCTGTGAATCACAGAAAGGACAGTGGTCAGGATGTCGGCCCTCAACTGGAAGCCCTTTGTGTACGGAGGGCTAGCCTCCATCACGGCAGAATGCGGTAAGGAGCCCAGGGGGCTGCAGCCATGTCAGTTTGCCTGCTGCTTGTGATAATGATTAACGCTTATGGTCTGGATTTGGTGTTTGAGATTGTTTCATAAATGCACATTCTGTGCTTCCACTAAATTCACACCACATACCAGTTCAAACTTTTCCTTCTTTCTGTCTGCTTTTGAGACAAAGATGTCATTTTGCTTATGTTTTAGCAGTTCAGGGTTCAAAGTTTAGTGGGGAGAAAGCTGAACCTGTTGATCAAACAGAAGTTTCTGAATCATTTGTAAATTACATCTGTCCCTGTTTTCCTTGCCCTCTTCCCCACTTTGGCACTTTTGGCTGCAAAGAGGATTTGGGAGCTCCAAGGTCTCCCCTGAGCCAGATTCGATTGATTGTCATTATGCAATCACTTTCTAATTACTCACATTACCCATAATCCTATTTGTGACTTCCACATCAGTTGGTTTCCGTATCAGCTTCTGTTTTTCCCTTTGTTTATTCCCTGGGATCATTCATTCAGCAAATATTAACTGAGCAGCTGCTGAGTGCCAGGTGCTGGGCTAGACATTTCATTTGCTTCCGCGGCTCAGTTGCTGCTGTCCTGGGACAGTGGCTGTGCCTGAGGAGCCAGTGAGGACCAGGCCTGAGGGGTTAGGTCCATTAACCACCCACCTAGCCACTAGTATAGGTTCCCTGTGAGGTGGGCTCTCCCACTGACACAGAGAGTCAAGTTTACTGACTGTGGGTTTTATATATTTGGGTATTATATACCATCTATCAGGTACTGTATTAAACATTTTTAACTGCATAACATTTACTTTTAGATGACACAAAGTGAGTAATTCCTTTAGAAAAAAAACTTACTTCATACTGAATCCAATGTTAGCCTTCGCATATGTAAAGAATACCAACTTACATTTTAAAGTGGATTTCTTGTTTGTGTAAGTCACTCCATCATTGCATCTACTTTCTACAACAGTGCAGTCTCCTTAAATCTTATGTGGAATAAGTTGGAACTAAATAAAAATGTAAAGAAAGGAAAATAATTTATGCATTTAAAAAAAATCTTTTGGTTCTTATTTTTTTTAATAGAAAAAAGATTGCAAAGCATCTGCTTATTTCTTGATTCTTAGTTTACATATAATCTAAATGTTTCCTCAGTAATGTGTGTGCATGTTTCCTTTAGTGGAATTTCTTTTTATTAACTAAGTGAAATGCTTATTTTCTTAAAAATTTTAAGGTACATTTCCAATTGATTTAACCAAGACACGGCTCCAGATTCAAGGCCAGACAAATGATGCAAACTTTAAAGAAATTAGGTATCGTGGAATGTTGCACGCGTTACTGAGGATAGGCAGAGAGGAAGGGTTGAAAGCACTGTATTCAGGGTAAGTAGATCTTTGTGCATTTACAGTTTTATGTGGACCTTTCCAATAGACTTCATAGAGAAAAAGTAATAAAAGTTTGAGGTGTATTTGAAAAGAACAAGTAGCATGGTAGATTTTCCATTTCAACCTTATTTTTTATGTTTGTCTTTTATGTAGGAAATGTAAAAAAATTATGTTTTTGTTACATTCAACTACACATAATGCAAAAGTTATGTTTAAGAAACATCCTGTAATTAAATTTTTTGCTCTGAAAATAGCCTTTCCCCTCAGCTATTCTGAACCACTGAGATTTTTGCCATAATGAAAATAATATAGTATTCCCTATGGGTAAGCATTGCCATGAATGGCTCTTTTCTGCAGCCAACATTCAGTGTTCCGTGCGCTGTTCGTTCTGAGTAGGAGAGAAAGGAAGGCAGAGTTCTGCCTTTGTCAGTCTGAGTCCCCGCAGGAAACAGTTCACTCGGGTGGTTAAATGAGGGGCTTTTTAGGGGTTAAGGGATTCAGTGAAGGATATTGAGGTACCTAGAAACTAACAAAATGAGAAATTGTAACCAAACCTAGGACCAGAGGGACAAGGGCAGGAATGGTATTAGTAGCGCCTGCCAGGGCCTGCGAGAACCAACAGTAGCTGTCAAGGATGCTTTGGTAGTACCCAGGAAGAAGAGGATGGATGATCTCTGCTTCTTTCTCCTCTCTCCTCCCATCTTCTGGCTGAATCCATCTGAATGTCAGTTGGTCAGGGGCCCTGGTTGATACAGTCCACAGGCACCAGACTCTCGGGGCGCAGAGCAGGACAGAAGGTATAGGACTGGATGTGGGCGGACAATGGGGATCTGCAGCAGCACACTGTCCTGAGGGAGCTGTCATTTAGTGGGGGCTGCAGATGTGTAAACCAGGGACTACAGTGGCGTCTCGCTAAGTTCTAGAGTCTGATAGAGGCAGGACATCAATCCAGACTGTGGATATAGGGAAGGGGGTGGGTTTTATGTCTGGGAGGTTCCAGAACTGATCTTGAAGAATCGAGATGAGTTAGTGAGCCAGGAGGAGTTACAGGGAAACTAAATTCTTATAGAGCCGTAGTCTTTGCAGGAGAGCATAGTAGATTCTAGGAACTGAGAGTAATGGAGTGTGCATGTGAGTGGGAGTTGGTGAGTAGGAGAAGGATCTGGAGCATAGTAAGGGGTCAGGGGTTGTACAGCCTCAGGTGCCTTTTATCCAGGACACCACAGGTCCCAAAGAGCACCTCGCAGCCCTTCCACCTACCAATTCCTGGAAGATTCTGTTTTTCAATTGAGCCAATAATTTACACATGAAATATTGCACAGAAAAACCTGGGATTCCATCTTCTCGGGAAAATTCAACATCTGGCCCTACATTCACTTGCTGATAATAATAGTAACCAGTTACAGATGCATTCACTGGTTTTCCAAAACCTCTGTCATTCACATTTTACTCACTCATGGCATCCGCCTGGTACCTGGAAGCACTTGAGTTTTGCTTATAGACACAGCAGAAGCTGCTGAAGGGTTTTAAGTAGGGGAATGACGTGATCAGATTTCCATTGTAAAAAGAAGCCTGCCTGCCATGGGGAGAAAGGATTAGAGACTGGTAGCACTGGAAGCAGGCTGTCACATGGGAAGCAGAGAGGACGAGGACTGGCCTGAGGTGTTGTCTTGGGATGGAGAGAAAGAAGACAGGCAGGACAGCTAGTTAGGGCAAGGGGTCAACATATGTGATTTAATAGATGAGGGGGTGTTGAGAAAGGAGAAGACAAGGCTAATGTCTGGATTTCTGGTTTTGGCTAGTGTAGAGATAGGTTCCATTCCCTGGTCTAGGAAACAGCAGAAGAGAGCTGATTGGCGAGGGAAGAGAATCGTTGAGTGCAGGGCTTGATCTGGAGGTAGGTGTAGGACATGTGACTTGGGAAGTGCATCTTTGGATCAGTGTTGGGAACATGAATTTAGGAGTCATCCGTCTTTGACAGCAGAAGCTATAGGAGTAGGTGAGCTCACCCAGGGAGTGTGTATAGTAAGGGGAGAAGAAAGCCTAGGGCAGAATCCTGGGGAACCGAAGAGCACAGATGCTGCAGAGGGGAGACATGGGCGAGGAGATGGCTGTGGTAGGACAAAGGCTGGACAGTAGTAAATACTGCAGAGCCTGTATAATTTGCTGCTTGAAAAGCATCATTTCATTTAGCAACAAAGATGTCAGTTGGTCACCCTACTGAGGGAAGTTGTGGTGAAGAAGGTAGAGGGAGGCCAGGCTGCGGTTCTAGAGGAAGTAGGGAGGGTGAGAACAGAACTGGTTAGTGCAGTGCCCAGGGGCTCCTGGGGTCAGGGAGCATCGTGGGAGGGAGAGGAAGTCACTGGGACAGGGATCCCAAGAGTTTGGAAATGGGCTCCAGAGCAGCAGCAGAAGAGTGATGCCTTCAGGGGGCAGATTTCACCAGGTGCTTGGTACTGAGAAAGGAAAGCCCTTTTCATTTTAAAACAGTGACTGGAGCCCCCCGTTCACTTTCATTTTCTCTGAGGCTAGTTACAAGGGCCTGAGCCTTCACTTAGTGAACTAATAATTTGCACAAATTTAGCTGAATCCACCTATATTAGTGTTGGATTTTGAATTTTTAAAAAATCTGGTTTAGTGTAGTTTTGATTGTGAAAGGCAAATATGTGGTTGTATCTCTGCCTATGGGTTTTCTCAAGGATTTTCAATGAATTCTAGAAATTATTTGCCCTTTGTACTTTGGTTTGACAGGATTGCCCCTGCGATGTTGCGCCAGGCTTCCTATGGCACCATCAAGATAGGCACTTACCAGAGCTTGAAGCGTTTATTCGTTGAACGCCCGGAAGGTGAGTGGGGAATCCTTTCTGCACTGTGGACAGGACAGGAGGTGGGCAGTTTGTCTTTTTATTCAGGTGGTTTTGGATCAGATTTTCTTCAGCTTCTTTGTAACTTCAGTGCTGCTGAGGAGAACTCTGGATGCAAATTCTAAACTGGGCTTAAAGCAAGTCAGTTAGTTACTAGCTGAATTTAGAGGAGAAACAGTTAAAAGGAACAATCTCAACAAACATTTTAATTAGTTATCCTCATCTCCAAAATGCCTAGGCTAGAGGATATGGTGTTATGGTTCTAGCCAACTTAAAATGTTCTAAAATCATAGGAATTCTCACCTGTTTTTCAGGAAAGCAGTGAATGCATTTCTTAGTATTAAGAAGTGGGTTCTAATACTCTATTTTGGGTTAATTCTCTGACTTTGCTTCAATCCATAGAACTTTCTTTTTTTTTAACTATGGGGCCAGCACCAGTCACCTGTTGTATGAGAGTGGTGAACAGGAGCAAGATGTTTTGGAAGTGCCTCAATAAGCTTCCAATTAAATATACTATGTGCTTGAAAACTTTATCTCCATGTTATCTCGTAGAAGTATTATTTTTATTCTCCCACAAGATAAACCTCATTTTAATTACTACAGTGGTCTGCATTTACACACAAAAGTGAACTGGCAGATGGTTAGTCACTTTACATGATAATTCACATTCCTTTTTTAGGGGTCAGGAAATTTTGCTACATGAGTCCCTTTAACCGTCAACATTCCTAATCCTTTTTAAATTACTTGATTCATTACTTGGTTACTTTTTTCTCTTAAGATGAACAAGTGGTATATGAGTGAGTTACACCTATATTTGAATTACATGAAGAGCTCTGTGTGTATGAAATGTCTAATAATATGTCTTTATTTGCAGATGAAACCCTACTGATAAATGTAGTATGTGGAATTCTCTCTGGAGTCATATCCTCAGCCATTGCTAATCCAACTGATGTTTTGAAAGTAAGCAGTGCTATGTATATCTCATAGGCACACTCTACATTGTCTTACTGAGAACAGTATTTGGATAATGAAAATCTGTGCATATAATATACACTGTATATGTATGAATCTGTTTATAATTTAAGTTCTGTGAAGACTCAAACTTACAAATATCCACTAGGTGGATTTCCTACAGATACAGACAAACTCAAAAGTGGAGCTCATTTTGAAAACAAGGTTTTTGGTGAATAAACAGAGAGAAATTTAGGCTTTGATACATTTGAATTTCATTTTTCATTGAAAATGAAAATTCCCTTGATGTATTGGTTCATAAAAAATTAGATGGGCTGCAAATTTGACATAAGTCTGATCATTAATACCATTTTTGAATGTATTATGTTACCATTAATTTGATTTTAGGAAATAGTAAAGGAAATAATTCCTTACCACAGTTAGATATAACACATTAGATGACCTTGTTGACGATACCACAGGTACAGCCTCCTTAAATACTTTTTGGAATAATGCAAAGGAATAAACTAATTAAATAAAATAAAAAATTAGGCATGGGTTACTTTTTGAACTCTCAGGATATGCCTCTGTCCTTCCCCTGCTCTCCTTTGTTACCATTATTTAACCAGCATTTGCTATGCTTCTACTTTGTACCTGTTGGAGTACTGCATGCTTAGGATCCAGAAATGAATAAGACAAGGACCCTGCCCTCAGAGAGCCTTCAGTCTAGTGGGAGATTCTGACAAACATCAAAATGTTATGTAGTATCATGTTTAGTACACAAATTACACGGGGTGAAGGCATGGCAAGTGTGAAGGCACTTTTGCTATGTGCTGTATTTATTTAGTCTTAACCCTCTGTTGGGGTAAGATTGCTAGAAAAAAATCCATATTCCTGTTTATCTCTTAAATGTTTATCAGACTAACAGAAAAGCAGTTCCTGTATATTGGTTTATTTTCCTGTTAGCCTAGTTTTAACAGATCTCTTTAAAAGTTAGAGGTAATGTATATTTACTCCCTAAACAAAGATAAGGTACCAATTTTTTATTGAGAAATCTCTTTAATTCTTAAAAATGCAGAGAGCTCCATCCAACATTATTTTTATGTTGGCTTCTTAGTTATGTGAATTCCATGGCCATTGTAAAGTTTATCTGTAAGTTCAAGTTCTAACAAAATGTGACGGGCATCATGTGGCCATCCCATGGCTCGCTTGCCTGCATACCATTTGGTTTAGCTGGTTAGAAATAGTAATGGCTTGGAGTAACTAATTTAGGAAATAGACTTTCCCATGCTTAGTGCTGCCAAGGACATTGGCTACTCTTAATTATGTTAAAGCTTTAGAATTACCATCATCTCTCTTTCCCACTTAGTAACTTATAGGAAATATGCCATTTTATTTCCTTTCAAAAGAGTATTTAAAAAAAAATTTCTTTTGATGCTTAATGAGCTACTATATATATAGAAATATAGGACTCTCTGGAGGACTCTACTAGATATATATTGGTGACTCCAAAGTGCCTAAGACCCAATCCTCAAAAATTTTAAGTCTACTTGAGGATATTTCAAACTAGCATTATAGTAATAATTATATTATAATTTCTTTCTTTTAATGGTCATTAAATGACAGATTGAATGCTCTACAGAGGTCTACATGTGGGGAAAAATATGCAAGTTTCTTTCTCATGTTAGTCTTTAAAATCTCTAGATACGGATGCAAGCACAAAGCAGCAACATTCAAGGAGGAATGATAGGCAACTTCATTAACATTTACCAGCAAGAGGGAACACGAGGACTGTGGAAGGTAAACTTGAAAAACAGATCCAGCTGACTTAGTTATTCCCTTTTTTCATTTTTTGAGCTTATTTTTCCTATTTCCATAATTTTTTTATTCCAAATGGCATGGTAGAGTAAGGGAAGAAGCTTGATATCTGCCCTTGAAGATACCTTCTTCCTTACTTCCTTATTTGTTAAGTGGAAATACAGGAATATGTCCTGGTTTAAAGTACCTGTTGAATAATCATACAGAAGAAATACTGTGAAGATGGGGCACTTCCTTTGTTGGCTTTTTTTCTTTTAGTTTTTATGGAATGGGGTTTTCTAGGTTAAAGTTACATTGAGTTTTTTGATCTGTATGGTTTCATGGCTGTAATGTGAGACTGTGTTACTCAGCAAGTGCTGGTATGGAGTGCTAGTTCCTAGTATTCTGGCACTTACAATTCATAGAATAGATCCTGCAGGTTGTCCAGTACAACCCTCTCAGGGTGTACAAGGAAACCAGAGACTCTGAGAGGTGACTTGTCCTGGCCAAGGTCTGGCCAAAGTCGTACAGTTAGTGCCTGAATCAGAATTAGACTCTGGAGCTTCTGACTTACCCTCTGTTCTTTTCTGCTCTGTCATTCTACATTTCTGCTTGCCAGCTGGAAACACAAAAATTGGCCACAGTTTGTGGAGTAGAGCCTTTGCACAATTGGAAGACTTATTCTATGGTAAGATTTCTGAATCTTTATTATTAATTCTTTTACCCAGGGTGTGTCCCTTACTGCTCAGAGGGCTGCTATCGTCGTTGGCGTGGAGCTGCCTGTCTATGACTTCACCAAGAAGCATCTGATTCTCTCAGGCCTGATGGAAGACACTGTCTACACCCACTTGCTGTATGTTTATGGATTTTTTAAAAATCAGTATTTTAAGTATGCAGGAGTTTAGGGTGGAAATTTACAAATTTATAGATACTGTAAAAAAAGTTTATTCTAAAAGTATTATAAATTCTCATATTTGAAGAATTACAATATGGAAGTGAACCAGGACAAAAGTAAAAGTCCTTATCCATTTACTTAGGTAGCCATTGTTAGCAGTTTATACGTACCTTCCAGAAAGTACATATGTAATATATGCAAGTATGTCTACAAAAGTACATTACATGTACTTTATTACCCAAGTAAGATCATGGTTTGTAGTCTCTTATTTTATTTTTATTTTTTCTCATTTATGTTTTCAGGTTTATTGAGGTAGAATTAACAAAACTGTCATATTTAAAATGTACAACATGATGATTTGATGTGGATATATAGTGAAAGATTTCCTCCTTCAAGTTAACTAAATACATCCGTGTACATATTTACTCTTTTTGCGTGTGTATGAAAACATTTAAGTTCTACTCTCTTAGCAGATTTCAGCTGTGTAATACAGTGTTATCAATTGTAGTTACTGTTTTTTACATGAGATCCTCAGACCTTATTTGTCTTATAACAAAGTTTGTACCCTTCTACCAACCTTTTCCTATTGCCCCTACCCCTCAGACCCTGGCAACCACTTTTCACTCTCTGTTTCTATGAGTTCAACTGTTGTTTTGTTTTTGTTGGTTTGTTTTTAGATTCCATGTATAAGTCGTATTTGTCTTTATTTGCTAAAAAAATAATATATTCAAGTATCTTTCCATGTCAGGACATAACAACTTTATTTATTTTGAATAGCTGCAGATTAGTATGGATATAGCATAGTTTAGTCCATTGAGGGATGATTTTGCCTCTTGGGACGTTTGGCAATTCTGGAGACTGTTTTGAGAGTTATGACTAGGGAGAGCAGTACTGACACCTGCTGGGTAGAAGCCTGGTAGCCTCTGAACATCTCAAATTGCACAGGGCGGACCTCCATAACAACGAATTATCTGGTCCAAAATATTAGTAGTGCTGAAATTGAGAAACCCTGCTCTGACTTCATTGATACCAAATAAGGTCTGTGTTAGTGAGACTGAAAGTTTAGTGGAACCTGAGACCCCTAGTAAGCATTACAGTGAAGAAATCTTATTCTCTGATCTCTAAGAACAGTATGATTATGAAATGGCTAAAATTATTCTGAGGCTACTTGTAGGTTGCTGCAATAGATCATGGTTTGAGGATGTTCCTTCATGTTTCTATAGTTCTTTGACATTCCAGAACCTGAAACATGTGCTTAGCTAAGGCTAAAATTTTTTTATTTTATTGTTTTATTAAGGTATCATTGACATACACTCTTATGAAGGTTTCACATGAAAAACATTGTGGTTACTACATTCCCCCATATTATCAAATCCCCCCCATACCCCATTGAAGTCACTGTCCATCAGTATAGTAAGATGCTACAGATTCACTGTCTTCTCTGTGCTACACTGTCTTCCCCATGATCCCCACCCCATACCATGTGTACTAATCATAATGCTCCTCAATCTCCTTCTCCCTCCCTCCCCACTCACCCTCCCCCACCCTAGTCCCTTTGGTAACCACTAGTCCCTTCTTGGAGTCTGTGAGTCTGCTGCTGTTTTGTTCCTTCAGTTTTGCTTCGTTGTTTTACTCCACAAATGAAGGAAATCATTTGGCACTTGTCTCTCTCTCCCTTCACTGAGCATAATACCCTATGATTCCATTAAGGCTAAAATTTTTAAGGCAGTATAATCAGTGCTGGTGTTTTAGAAGTTCACACAGCTCTCTAAATATGGACCTTGTTCTCCATACATTTCTTCTTGTTACATGTTACTTTAACATGTTTGGGAGGAGGCTGTTTGCTACCTTAGGTAGTGGTGGTTGTAGCTCTGTGGTGGTGAACTCTTTGTTATTCCAATGTCTCTTTTTCATAGTTCAAGCTTTACCTGTGGTCTGGCTGGGGCGCTTACCTCCAACCCTGTGGATGTTGTGAGAACACGTATGATGAATCAGCGAGTCCTTCGAGATGGCAGATGCTCTGGCTACACAGGTACCCTGGATTGCTTGTTACAGGTGAGATGTTCATCTGTGAATTCCTTTCATAGCTCATTAGCTTCCACGTTACCCTCTGAGGACTTTCTTACCATGATTTAAAAACACAAGGGTTTACAGCAAGACAAAGCTATAGATCTGTCACTTGTAATTGTGACATTGGTCAATGTACGCATTCTCTAACCTCGGTTTCCTCATAAGGGAAACAGGGTATAACATCATAGAATTACTATAAAAACGATTGAGATAATGCCTACAAAACAGTTAGCATAGTGCCTAGAATAATCTACTAAGAGTTGTTAGTATAATTAATAGTAATAAGGGACACTTATGCAATAAGCAAGTTCATTTTACTTAATCTTTAGTATTCTAGTGGATTGCTTCAATCAATGGAACTGTCCCCAAATATATATATATATGTTTATATATATTATATATTTAATGAGTTTATTGATTTACCCTAGGTAACTAAATTTTGACTTCTCAGAGAGTAACACTCTAAAGCCCTGTGATGGTGCACAGGTTTTGCCACACTGGGTCTGACTTTTACAAATACAAAATCTATATGACTATTTAGAAATGAAAGTTCATTTTCTTTATACCTCAGCTCTGCTGTCAAGGGTGAGAAAATAGTCATATTTTCTGTGATCATAGCAGAAGTGTTTTTTCTTCCAAAATATGTCCTTCCTGGAATTGAGTTGAGTCAAGCTGAAATGACCATCCTTTGTTTAGCTGTCTCTCAAAGGAACACATCAATCTTACTATGATTCTCAGTTTAAATAATTGGGTCTTCTGTTTACAAATGACTGTCTCCCCTGCTAGACTGTCACTAAAGATGAGGAACCGCTTTTATGGTTCCTATTTTCTGTCATGATGCTGACACAGCCTATATTTTATCCATCTAACAACATGAAATATGCTCTGAATTATATCTTTACCACCATAGCTTTGCTGCTTTATTTCCAGCCAATCTGTGAGCCCATATGGCAAGGAGGCAAAAGACTCTAGTTGGAATTAAATCTCATTTATTGATTCACCTGCTGTTTGTCTACTTTGGGTGTGGAGCGATTTGGTGTGGAGCCTTAGTCCCCACCCATGCCGAAGTCTTTAAAGAACAAAGATACAGAGGGTGGGGTGGTTTCTTACTTAGTCCTTCCAAACAGGATTTTATTTTTTGGAAACATAGATTAGTTCATTCTGGCTAATTATTAATGGACTTGACATAATTGGAAAATTGGAAATTAACTTTTTTTCCCTCGTAGACGTGGAAGAATGAAGGTTGTTTTGCTCTCTATAAAGGGTTTTGGCCCAATTGGTTGAGGCTTGGTCCTTGGAATATCATTGTATCCTTTTCAGTTGCCACAGATCTAAAAAAAGATGTAGGTAAAAAAATATTGTTTGTATAAACAAACATATTATTAATTATAATTTACAAGTAGGTTTCAATCTTTTGAGTTCCTCTGATTCTAAGAAATAACTTTCCTTTTTAGGAGGTATAAAATCTCTGCACTAGGCTGTATGAATCGTGGTTTAGTGATGGTGTTATTGAAAAGTAATATCAATAAAAAAATTTTTTCAGACTGTAATCAGGAAGCTGAGAATATTTATGATTACAGAGAGTATCATGATTTAAAAACACAAGGGTTCATTGTACATCCTTAACCACCCTCGGGAGGATGTGGTTTGGCACAGTGCTGTAGAATGCTGATTTTAGAGAGTACATGAGGATAAACGGGAATCAACGCCTGAATTATTTGACTGATCAGCCTTATTTCCTCTATGCCAAAGTGGGAGTTCATAGACATGAAGAAGAAATGGCAGTCAATGAGACATGCAAGGGCTGTAGAGTTGTAGGACATGTTGACTTCCCCCATTTTCTTGTTTCTCTTTATGTGTGCCTCTCTCTTCCTGAAGGCCTGCCTATCGGAACGCTTGAGAACAGCTTCCCGGGGCATGCTGTCTTTGTCTTCACACAGAATTTACAACTGGGAAAAGTCTTACCTACACAGCAGTAACAAAAGCTAGTCACAGTGTGTTCATCCTAGAAGAGGCTCTCAGAGCTGATCCTAGGGGATTGATACATCTCAGCTGTGAGGTTTTTTCCAAGCTGATATGGGGAGGGCTTATGATGGGGAGGCTTTTTGGGGTGGATAAGGAAGTAGTCCCTCATATTTAATCATATCCCTGGCACATAGTCTGCCCAGATATATCTGTTATTAATGGATTGGGAAAATAAAGAGCTGGGAAAAACAGTAGGGCTGTTTTTATGTGTCAGGATTGTTAAGATGGCATTTTTTGGGTCACCCTTAACTGATGCCTGCAGTTCTTTGTGACATATGAGCAGTTGAAGAAATTGGATTTATGACAAGTCAAGGCTGCATGAGGTGGTGCTCTGAAGTTGCTCACTTCCAAAACAGTAGAGCTTCGGTGTTTCGCTCTGCTTCTTTCTCACTGCTGGGCTTACTGCAGATTTGGAAGTATAAGCAGCAAAGACTGGGTTAGTTCAGATTGTAGCATGCTGGCATTGGACATTCACACCAGAAGGTCAGTGGTATAAACCATGATATCCAAACACTAGTCCTTACCATCGAAGATCTTCACACAGAATTTACAACTGGGAAAAGTCTTACCTACACAGCAGTAACAAAAGCTAGTCACAGTGTGTTCATCCTAGAAGAGGCTCTCAGAGCTGATCCTAGGGGATTGATACATCTCAGCTGTGAGGTTTTTTCCAAGCTGATATGGGGAGGGCTTATGATGGGGAGGCTTTTTGGGGTGGATAAGGAAGTAGTCCCTCATATTTAATCATATCCCTGGCACATAGTCTGCCCAGATATATCTGTTATTAATGGATTGGGAAAATAAAGAGCTGGGAAAAACAGTAGGGCTGTTTTTATGTGTCAGGATTGTTAAGATGGCATTTTTTGGGTCACCCTTAACTGATGCCTGCAGTTCTTTGTGACATATGAGCAGTTGAAGAAATTGGATTTATGACAAGTCAAGGCTGCATGAGGTGGTGCTCTGAAGTTGCTCACTTCCAAAACAGTAGAGCTTCGGTGTTTCGCTCTGCTTCTTTCTCACTGCTGGGCTTACTGCAGATTTGGAAGTATAAGCAGCAAAGACTGGGTTAGTTCAGATTGTAGCATGCTGGCATTGGACATTCACACCAGAAGGTCAGTGGTATAAACCATGATATCCAAACACTAGTCCTTACCATCGAAGCGCCCTTTGACATCAAGATAACATATGAAATGCATGTTTCTTGCTAAAGAGAACTTGCAACAAGATCGGGAACTGTGTGTTGTTTTCTTCGGGAGGGAGTAACACTTGACCTTAGCTCCTAGCTGAGCACACCAGCCTGCTTTAAAGAATAAGGAAGCTCATGGGAACCGGGGAATGGAGCCTTTAAGAGAGGGTATTACTATTCCTGAATTCCTGGGACTTTGGCTTATCAGCTGAAGAAACTTCACACTTGGAAACATGGATTTTTTGATCCAGGTATAAACAGTGCAGGAAATAGGTCCCTGGAATATTGCACTGTTTTATAATTTCCTATTTTGGCAGGATCTTTCACTTACAGTAAGTGATTTTTAAGCCTTTGAAGACTTGACCTTTGTGAGGAATTGTTACAAAGCATTATTATCCAAACTCAAGATGGTATGTATTATAAGTTGGCTTCGAAGGTCCAAGGTCTGTTCGTTGGGAAGTGTTTCAAGCAGCTTGGGTTGTCTTGGGCATTGTTAGTAATTTGCTTTGATTTTTAGCAGTTTTATTACTTCCCAGTCTGTAAAATGGGAATAATATCCATCAATGTGAGGGTCAAATGAAGAAAACAGTAGCTGCTACTATGTGCCTTGTAGGATAAGTGTTGACATTCTCTGTCCTACAGTCATAATCCCAGCATAAACAGTCTGGGTAAAGAAGGCAGTCGTTTTATTACGTGCTTCTCACTGTAATCCTGAGTGAAACTCTTTGTTAAAGGCCTTGTGAAAGAAAAGACACTGTATAAATTAAGGTTTTATTACATTTTCCTTAGCAAAATGTTGTAAGTGAATCAAAGAGTATTTTTTCAGATTCCTAGTTTTTACTTTAGTTTGGGTCATGTTTGTTAAAGTATTTGCTGTCTTGGATTTCTTTATTAGTTTGGATGGAAAAACACTTGCTTGAAATTTTAAAAAATTTGTTTAGTGCTGCACCTGTTAATCTAGTTTCTGATAAAGGTATGTAATATCTTCCTTTCTTCTGTCAACAAGATAAATCATTCTCCCTCTTCTTTCTCATCTTCGTCTTACTCTCTTCAATATAAAAAGTGACCCTGAGAGCCCCCAGAAGATGGCCCCAGGAAAAGAAATGTGTTTACTTAGGTACCTTAGGGTCTACCCGTGGATAACATTAAATACTTATTATCTGGGGCCCCAAGAGCAGGACATGCTGGGCAAATGTCTGGATCCTGGGCTGCTTCCTCCTTTGAAGCAGAGTAGAAGGAACCTGAGTGTTTCTTGGGGATTGGGCAGTTTTCCTCTCAGTCTCTTTCACCTTGTCTTCTTTATTAAGGTTTACTTTGAAAAAGATTTTGTGAAGCAGAATTGTATTTCCAAAAGTATGATCTAAGGCAAAACCATTAAAAAGGAAAGGAAGAAAGAAGGGTGATGGAGTGACATGTAGGCATTAATTGCTTAAAGACTAAGATGAGAGTCCCTATATCCCTGGCCCCCTCTGCATGTGACTCTGGAGTCACGCATTTAGGCCTCGCTCCTGGTACTGAAGTGTATCTTCAGCGAGAAATTTTTTTCTTCTTCCCGAAACATTCCATTGGCGTGGTAAATGCTTTCTGTAGAAAGGATTCCACTTTTGAATTCCTTGAATTTTAACGGATTATTTTTATGAACCTTTTTTTAATGAAAACATTCTATTTTTTAAGTGTACAAATAATTTCTAAAAGAGTAGAAGGAAGTTCATTTTGAAGACCATATGAAGAGTGAATGTCATGCAATATTCATTATATCAATTATTTCAAATTATGTACATGTTCATACCAGGATGAAAAGAAACTCAAACCTCACTGTAAAACAAGCACATTTTAAAGAGAAAAAAGTATATTTCTTCAGTGTAGATTTATAAAACACTTTATAGAACAGAACCATCCCCTGTTTTGGTTCTTCTGCTTTCTGAAAGAGTTACTGCAATTGTTAAAGCTTCTAATAACTAAGGAAGAACTTAAGGACTAGGGAGATGTGGTCCCCTCGTTTTCAGGCTACCGGTCCCCCTGCTCCCTTGGGTATTGCTCAGATGTGGTAAAATGACTTTTAGCTTTGTTACCAAAATGAGGAAAATGGGTTTGTTTGTTTGTTTGTTTGCCTGTGGATTTGTGTATTCATTGATACTAAATGTTGCTGATCTGTGATATTAAAAAAATGGCTCCTGTTCTCCATATTTATTTAGATACTAGAAATAGTATGTATTATATAGATTGCAAAGTTTTCATAAGCCTTTATATTTTGAGCTCTTTATTTAAACAATGTTGGAATATGTAGCATAAGCCTTGTTTAATTATTTAATAAACTGGATTAGTATGTAATAATAAAAAAATGATTTGTGGTTATTTTAGATAAACAGAAATCTTTAAACAAAGACAACCTCCAAAGAGGCTGAGGTAGAGCATTTGTGGAAGTGGCTGTAGACATTTCTCTCTGCACAGGGGAGTGGGATCTTCTTACCAATTAACGGATATCTGTGTGAATTCCCATTTATGAAATACTCTGCCCCTCCGTAGAGGCTGGTGAATTTGACTCGGGCTGGTTTGGCAAGGCACCCTAGGGATTGAGGACACCAGTGTGATGACACCAGCGCTTTGCCCATCAAGTTCCCTCAGTTCTTCCAGCTTTCGGTGTTGGCTAGAGGCAGGAGCTGGAATCCTAGGGACTGTGGCCCAGGCAGACACACCTGGTTGGACTAGGGACTGTGGCCCAGGCAGACACACCTGGTTGGCATGAAAGAACCAGTGAATGAAATGCAAACCTGGCTTATTAATTTTGTTACTTAAAAATATTTTCTAGGTGCCTGTCCTCTGAACATTTGAATTAAACATAGTGTTTTATTGAAAAAAGAGAACTAGGAAAAAGGAGGAGACTTTTTGTCTCAGATTTCCTACCTGAAAGATTAAATGAAATCCTTGTACAGGACTAATTTAACATGAAGGTCAGTGAGAACAGCTAGGTGCTGTTGTTGCTCAAAGGCCTGTGAATAAATAGAACCCTCACTTGAATTATGGCACCTGTTAGACACATTTGACCTTAAATCCAGGCTATTCATTTCTAAATTGGCAGCTGGGAAAATCTGATGGTAAATTTTTGATAGATTATAAGTAGGTACACTCTGAAGCAAAGCATAGGAATACAAGACAAGGGCTGTGTATAAATCTGTTTTTTGAAACCTTGATGCCTGAATGTCTGTGTATCTCTCTGCTTCAGTCACAGTCTGTATAATGGCTTACTGTATGGCTCCTGGGAAGAATGAGTTAGATCTCAGCCTGCTGACCCAGAGAGGTGTTCATGTTAGTGTTATTAGGTGAGAGAAAGGAAAGGTATCCATGATACGTGGTCAAGTGGGAAGAAGTTAGGGTACATATTCCTACATACACCATGAACTCATTTCTTAAGGTAAAAACATCAACTTACATATTTAGAGAATAGATTTAAAAGGTTTATATTAAGGTTCTTCAGAGAAATAGAACCAATAGAGCCTGTATGTATATACATACACAATTTATTTTAAAGAATAGGCCCATGCAGTTGTGAGGACTTGGCAAGTCTGAAATTGGTAGGGTGGTAGGGCAGGTCAGCAGACTGGAAACTCAGGATTTCTGTTCCAATCTTAAGGCAGAATTTTTCCTCCAGGAAACCTGTTTTTTTCCTTTCATGGCTTTTAACTGATTGGGTGAGGCCCACCCATGTTACCGGTTATTATCTTTAAATCAACGGATTATAGATGTTACTGACATCTACAAAATACCTTTATAGCAACATCTAGTGTTGGCCATACAACTGGACACTTTAACATAGCCAAGTTGACACAAAATTTAACCTTCACAGAGCAGAAAGAATTGGTAATTTCCTCATATAATTGTATTATACTGTTGTAGTTTAAAACCATAAAACAAAGGGGACTGGCTTGGAATATGTCCAAGTTACATAAGTGGGGGAAAGTGGGAGTAGTAGCATATCTAATATTCTATTTGTATTTTAACTATATGTCTTTAAAAGTGTATTAAATGTCTAGTTCAAACTTGAACAGGATAAATGGCAACATTTTGCTGTTTCAGTTTTTAACCACTTGCTTTTTATTTAGTGAATTTAATATTTCTGTGATTAGAATTTTGTTTTGACTTTTGACAGTTAGGGGAGACCTCTAGAAAGAGCACACTATGTGGACTGTGTACCTACCCTGTAAACTCCTGTGTTATTTTACACAATTCTTAATTTTCTTCTGATCATCCTGACTTTCAAATCACATTGTTTCATTGCATGACTTTGGTAGGTATAGCTACATTCTTTCCTAAGAGGTTTTGCTTCATTAATTGTAATCTT